GTTCCCTTACTACCCCCCCCCCCACACCCCATGCTCCGCCCCCCCATGGTTCCCTCTTGATGAAGTTAATGTAGGGACAATTAAGGCCAAACAAGCCCAAACCTTGGACACTGTTGTATAGTGTATGTGTTTGTATTGCCCCCCCGAAAAATGTTAAAGGAACCCCCACTACCGTAAACCCTCCACATACATATGTCCCCCGATTCCCTCCAAACCCCAAAACCCTAAACCCTAAACCCCTTTCTGGTAGGACTGGATGCCATGAACCCTAAACCCTGTAGGACTGGATGCTGTCTCAAGTCCTGGTTTTCGCGGCGGAGGCTGATGAGGCCGATGGGGTTCAGGATGCACACATAGTAGCCTGAAAGGTTTTAGGGTTGGGGTTTAGGGGAGGGTTTAGGATCAATCACGAACTTGTAGCCCTTGCGTATGCCGACACAGATTTGTATACATGTAGATAACGCAGGGGAGTATACTTTAAAAGCCACTGTTGATTACTTGGGCCCTTACACTTAGCCATAGCTGGGGCTCAGAGATTTCTTGGTTTTTTACTTCAGGGTTTCGATGCTTGCTAGTCAAGATCTTTGCTTGGGGCTGGGGACGGTTCAGGATTTGGTGTGCAGAGTTTCAAAGCGTTGGCTATTATTGACATTAGGCATGTGTGTCGTAGGGCTTGAGCTGAATTGAGAATTAGCGTTGAGGGGCAGGGGTTTAAGCCTGAACGCCGAATCTGAAAGTTTGGCATTGAATGCTTGAGGCAGAGGATTCAGAACCAACATCAGGGCTTTGGATGCTCCTAAAGACCTTGCAGGTCACAACCCTAAAGATTACACAGGGATTCCTACGCTCGCTATTGAGGATTCTACAGGGATTCTCGCGAGGGCATGTTGGACTACTATCCCAATACAGGACTGGACCCACAAGGTTCGGCAAACGGAACTAGATTCCCATGCCTTTCCTTGTGCCATGCGGCTCCAAACTCCTGGTGCGCACATGTTGATGTTGTCAGCAAGCTTTGCTTTACGTAAACATGTGTGTCTATATACATATATATGCGTGTGTAGGTACGTGCATATGTAGATATGTATGTGTGGAGATGTATATGAATACATGTATACATGTGTATACATAAATGTGTTTAGACCCTTGATCACTGTGGATATTGCCTATCTGTATATACCTGTATACATGCATGCACGCATATGCTAGAAGTTGACTCTGGAGAATAGCGTTCAAAGCTATATGTGAAGTACGAGGTAATCCTTTCCTGCGGCACTTCGTGCATTATACCCAATACATTGACGTAGTACATGTCTATAATGTACCGCAGGCAGGGCAGACAAACGCAGCTGAAGGGCTAGAAAAGCCGCAGCCACAGAGCAGCAAGCCTTCAATTGCTTTAGATTGAGGTGTTGCGGCTTCTGTAATTGCAATTTGAATCTTGTTCTCATGCGTGGATAGATTGCTGGGGAAACGCGCTTCTGTCTTGGCATGACACGTGCCCATACGCCGCAAGCTGCCTGAGATCCCGCCTGTCCTTACTTACTTGAATCCAAGATGTTACTACGGAGCAAGATAGTGCAAGGCTTAGATGTGGAATGGGGCACCTTTCACTCCTAAGCATGAAGCAGCACGGAGCCATGAATTGGACTTAGGGCCAGCGCGCTGGGCACGGGTATGAGTTGTGTGATGCAAGGTTTGCCTCCAGTGCTCAGATTGTTGGGTGTAAGGAGGCACCGTAGACAGCGCGGAGATGCATGCTAAAACCTACTCGAGAAGCAGCTTGAGGCATCGGTATCTCTTCGCGTCCCACTGCAGATGTGTTCAGGAAGTTCCACGTTGGGCGGAACGAATTGCATTATGGCTTCAGAAAGGTCAGGTTCGACAGAAGCTGGTGGGCATCTAAACCCATGAACCTGCGTCTGGCTCCAATTAACGGCTCCTTTTGTGCCTTTTCACTAACCCCATAGACCGATTCAGCTTCGAAAGAAGTTCAGTCGCCCCGACCCAGCTCCAGGAATGCTAGACATGTAGCACAGACCGCAGCAGTTTGTAGAAAGGGTACCAGGGGGGGCTATGCCCAGTCCCTTCGCCCTAAGACAGATTCCCTCATTCCGTACTAACCCTAAGCCGAAACCCTATATCCCTTTATTCCCTACAAACACCCGGTAAGTGATACCGAGGTTCCTGCTAAGCAGACTGCATGCCCGTCTTTTTTCCATGGAGCCGTCGGATCTTACGGAGGACCGGACATGCAGCTCACTGGGGGTTAGTAGGGAATAAGGGAGTATACTAGATAGGAGTTATAGGGATGGGATCATTGTCCACCAGTAAAGAAACGCCAGTGGGCTGTCGATCTTGATAGGAGCCTGGACAGCTCCGAGATAGAGTAAGTTGCTTGACAGCTAGGACATCTTAGACCATTTAATGCCCACATAAAATGTTTTGCAATGAATTTTTGTGCGAAGGCACCTCTCTGATTGTAATGAGCCACGCCCACAACTCCTCTGCGGTTTTTCAAAGCTATCGAAAAAGCCATCTCTTACGCTGTGAGACTCCTGATTAGGCATCTTGCTGCGTGACGCATGCATGAACTCGTATCAAGTGAGCCAACTCTGAAGTAAACATGGGACCAGGGAACCTGAAGTGCCAAAATTTTCCTTAGCTTCTCAGACACATTGATGTTAGGTACGGCTTTTGAAGTCCATGCCCTAAAAGCTTAGTCTTCATACCGTAAGAGATCTCAAGATCCAGCAAGAGGCCCTGCTGTTCCTTTCCAAGTGCCAGCATGGATGGCTTGTCATTTGGAACCCTGCGCGATTCGCAGCATGGTGCACTTCTGGTCTCTGTCGCTCATACTGTAACTTGGGTAGCTGAGTCCTTCTGCAAGAGCTTATCTACCTATGGTAAGTACATGGTAGGATGCGCATCACAAGTATTCGGAGTTTGATGCTATGCTACTTGGAGGGACATGGGGACCCAGTAAGTAGGTTAATAACCCCTTCAGGCCACATAACAATCCCAACTATCCCCATCATTGACCTACTTACCAAGTCCCCATGACCCTAAACCCTAAACCTAAACCCTACACACTACAGTAGTTTCAATTTTCTTTCCCCTTATTACTAGCTCCAAGTAATACTAACTAAGTCCTCATGACCCTCCAAGCATGCCCTCCTGCACCACGAAGGACGAGACCTTGAGGCGAAGGATTGACAGTTTCAGTGGGAGCCTAGCAGACGGTCCCAAGGATTTAGGATGTTTCAAATGCGTAGGGCAGGGTTTATATGGTGTGTATATATACACTTATATAAGGTTCCAAATGGTTAATGCAGGGATATTACCCTCAATAGTGGAGAGTCGCATGGAAAAGAAGATGGAAAACTGAAGGGAAATTCGGCTTATAGAGCGATTTCTATAATGATTGGGGCCCCAAAAATGTTGAGGATATGTTTGCGGGGTCCCTACTATAAGATTATTATAGTATTTGAGGGTATACGAAGGAGATCCCTGATTTCTGGAAAGTTCCATTTCTGGGCATCCTAGAAAAGCTTAGATGAAGGACGAATGGGAGGATTTCCATGGCGTGCCTCTCGAGTTTCGGAGATTGTTCCTAGTGGAAACTTCTCAAGATAAAACGACACGCCTGGTCCACCAAGCTCGTGATTATAGGAACCTTAAAGAAGAGCTATTTATTGAAAGGAGTCATTACAGGTACCCGCAGAAAGGGGTCCTAATTTTTAGAAACCCGACACGGCTGCCTCTTGTAGTAGGGAAGCCTCCTCTCTACAACTCTTGATCAAGAAGAGTCCCAGATAGGTTGTTGCAGGAATGTAGGGATTATGATAAGGAATAAGATAGGGACTTCTATGTCAAGGAGAGTTCTAGGTGGTTAGTTATCAGACTACTTGCCTGATAGCAGGCGCAGATATAATCTGGAAATATCGTCCCCCTTAAGCAGATAAAGTATGGGGTTTTAGTGTATGTTATTATAATATACCCAAAGCCATATTCTATCTACTTAAGGGGGGCTATGTGTGTA